GTCTCAACTCTTCTGTCATCTGTGTAATAAAGTCTCTGTATCAGATTTGTTCTGTTTTACATACTAAGAGTGGTTTCTTTTTCCAGACACACATATTTTATAGAACAGTTTTGCTTTCATTTCATAGCTTATAGTCTTTTGGATGTTGATAAAGGGAATGTTAAATTATTCATTACCGCCATTAATGTTTAATCAGCTTAGTATTGCATTTAGGTAGTGGGGCAAAGGGGAATAAGATAAAATGACTTGACTGCCCTCAGGGAGCTCAGTCTGCCTGGGGAGATGGTGCTTTACCGGAAGAGAAGGAAGACCACAGTAGTGGTGGGACATCCAAGCCTTGCTAGGGGCTAAGGTCTTGCTCAAGTGGATGAGAAAAAAAGGGCATTACCAGCAGAAGCAGCAGTTTGTACAGAAGCATGTCAAATGCAAGTTTGCATGAGGGTCTGTGGGGTCCGGGACAGTGGAAGAAGAGTAAGCTAGAAAGGTAGTCGGGCTAAATCATGAAGGACATAGAAAACTCCACCAAACACTTGGACTTTGTCCTTGCAGTGATGAGAAGTAGTGAAGAAGGGTTTTTAGCAGGGGCATTGCATGGACAGATTTACCCTTTAGAAAGATCACTCTTGAACCGGGTGTGAGGATCGTAGAGGACTGGAATGGAGGGAGAGAAACCTGGCCAGGTGGTTAGTGCAGAAGTCTCAGCTGGAGGTAAGGATGTATGAATAGAGGCCTGAATTAAACCAGAGGATTTAGAGGAAGCGGCGGGGGGGGGGGGTAGTCAAGATATACTAAGAAAGTAGAATGTGTGCAGCCTGGTGGTTTTTTGGAGGCAGTGGCGGGGAGGGGATATGTTGGAAGTTGTCATTAAATGATGGTCCATTATACTCAGAGATTAGGAAATGCTTGCTTGGTTAGGCTAAATAAGTCTTAAAACTAGAAGACTATTTCTCAAATTGGGGCACAGTGTGTCCTTGGAGGTCTGATGCACATTTCTTCTACCTCTACTTTTCTTATCTTCTAATTAAAATAGAAGAGCCTCTTCACTTTAGAAATCCTTTCATGGGTAGTTCTTGTGTCTAAGGGTTTCGGAAATCTGTCAATAAAATATCCCCTGTTAATGGAGAAAACCTATAGGTCCACTCAGTGTCAAATCTTCCACATGCCGCAGACTGTATTGTTTTACAAATTGAGAAGAACACCATGCTTGCTCCCTAGGAGTTCAACATCTGAAAACAAACGTATAGACACTGTGAAGAAGATGTTAGAAACAGTATCTGCCTTACAGTATCTGCAGTGGAATTTGGTCTGAGTTGCTGCTCCAGAGTTATGGCCAGATATTAGCAGTATTGCTAGCTATCAGTAACATGCTTTATTCTTTGAAGATTTAAGGTAGAGTGTAGTAATTGAGAGCCTGAGTTCCAGGGGTCTGACTTCCTGGCTCTGCCATTTATCCTATGGGTCACCTTGGCCAAATTACTTAATCTCTAGGATTCCCTTCATTATCTGTAGGATGAGGATCATAATAGTGTCTGCCCTAGGATTACTGAGAGGGTTAAATGGCAAATGTATGTGTTGTGCGTAGCACACCTCCTGTGCAATAAATAACTTGCTGTTGAGCATTCCTGAAGACAGAGTGAAGCCTCCTCTAAGACTCCATTGAGAAAGGTGTGCTATGTGAGTTCCAGGGATCATTGCTTTCCTTCTGCATGAAAGCTCTTGTGGCTAACCTTGAGATCCTTTGTCCCTTTATGTTAATTGCAAAGAAAATTCTGGAACGTGCTTTCTTTGGGACAAATTAAGTCTTTGAATTTTCAAGTTACCTCTTTGATCACATCATACATGAATGGTTTTTGCTTCAGGAAACTTCCAGAAACAAGTTTGAAGGCCAGCAAGTGGCAAGTAACACATTAGAGAAGATTGAGACATCACTGCCTCTCGGAAACCTTGCCTTTATACCCATCACCTCCATCCTCATTTGAGTTCAGCACACATTAATTGAGCACCACTACTTTTCAGCTCTGTTTTATGCTCCAGGGATATGCAAGGATAAACAGATAATTCCCATCCTCATGAAAATTAGTCTATTGGAAATATATGTAAGTAAATTCAGGCCAGTGTCATACTAGCACAAATGGAAGTGTGTAGAAGACCAGAGAGGTATGTAGGAAGAATAGTAAGGAAAGTTTCACAGATTTGGTGACATCAGATTTTGAATGGAATGAGAAGAGGGAGAGTCCACAGGTCAGCATGGTTTGTATAAGAGATGGACCATGCGGGGAGGGTGGTTGATGGGAGATGAAATTGAAGAAGGAGGTGGGAACTGGATCTTGTAAAAGCTTAGCCTTTGTCGTGATTTTAAGCAACAGAATGCTGTAAGAGTTGCATTTTTAGCAAGATCTTCCTAGTATAGAAGGTGGACTTGAGAAGAATGTTGCAGATGCTGGCGGGTTCATGTCTCCACTGCACATTCATTGAGGCCAGTGACAGAGTCCTGTTTACCTCTGTATCCCTAAAATCTACTTTATAGACACTTAAGAAGTTTTTCAGAATAAAGACAGCCCAAGTTGAATTTTCCAAGTCTGCATCCCGTCCTCCGAATATGCTGACCTGGACCTCCATCTGTCATAAGCAGCTTGACTCAGATCATAATAAATTCTTTTTTCGTGACATTCTTTTAACTGGCACTCTCTATTTACTAGCCCCTCCGTGCAACTATAGTGTGGTGATGATTGATGCTTATAATTCTGACCCTGAAGTACTTCAAGTCTTCTAAATCATCAAAAAAAGATTAAAGTATATTCAATACTGCTGTAATGTTTATGTGTTTTCATGCGTTCTTATTCTTTGGAAATTGATGGTTTCTCAAGTGCCTGTGTCCTCCTGTGCACGCAGGCACAGTGGGAGTCCGCGATCGGCCGCCACCCCTCACTCCCTTGCAGGGCCAGGCGCAGGGAGTTTGTTAGCAACGCATGTGTGGAAATAAGCAAAACAAACCTGGGTTCTCTTCACGCCTAGAGGGAGGAAGCAGGTCGGACCCCCGGAGGGGCAGACCGGACAGGGACAAGAGAGCCAACGGTGGCTGGAAAACCAGTGGGAGTGATAAAGCCAGAACTGGTACAGATTAGCGAGACGGGCAGTTTACAGCAAGCCCACTCTGCGGCAGAGCCCAGGAGGAGCAGGGCCCCAGGCTGGGACGCCAGCTCCGCGTTCTCGTGTGCCTTGACCCGACTCATCGTGCTGGGAGCTGGCAGCATTCTCTGCCAGCTATGTTTGTATTGTGGTAACAACTCAGTAAAACACCAAACGTTAGCAAGTGAAAACATCAATAATTAGAGCATCCTGTTCCCCCCCCCCCCACACACACACACATTTCTTCGTGAGAACCATTACTGCAGAGCTGACAATATTACTTGGCCCAGAATGAAGAAGTCCAAATAGAAGCTGTGAGAAGACTCCGTCTTATAACCGGATTTCTGAAGAGAAGGCATGTGATGATGTTACCAGGAGGGAGATTTGCCGTTTGGGGTGTCTTCGGGGGGTTATATATTTCAGCAAGTAGAGATGCTTCTTACATTTTGTTGTATAGATTTGTTTTCAAAATCTGTGTTTGATCCGCAAGCTGTGCTTGTGTTGGGGGTGCCACGCTCATTATTCCAGCCTGGAGGGCGGGTCCCTAAGCCACTGGGATTCTGTTTGTCACTCACTAGGCAAGGGCGTGTGTGGACTTTAGAGCTAACTTTACTAATTTGCCATCTCTGTGATTTGGATGAGTCTCTTGTTATCTCTGGGTCTTAGTTTTTTCTTTTCCTGAAATTTTGAAATAATACAAATTCCTTCCCTACAGCGCTGCTGTGAGGCTAAAATGGTGGCTGTGGAAAGCCCTACATAAATAAGAGTATACCAAATATACTAAAGAACATCATAAATATTCTAATAAAGAATAGAAGTGTGTTTCATTAGCAAGGACAACATGCTCACAAATTTCCCTGAAGCAGAGTGGGGAAAATGAGCTAGTTATTAATTTCTTACTATGGAGTAGATGTTCTGGCTGTTTCTTCATGCGTTCCTCAAGGTAGATATTAAATCCTTACTTCAGAGATGAACAAACTGAGCCTTCCATTCACACAGATACACATAGGAGAAACTGACTCCAGAACTTAATGCTTTCTCCTTATCTCCAGTTGTCGGCCTTATTCCGGACCCCCACGTCCCTACCCACAAAGTTCTTAAAAGCTGTTCACCTCCTTTTGGGTTGGGAAGTTTGCTAGCCATTTCCCGGTCATTCACACCTGAAAGTGGGGGAGGATGGGATCCAGAAAGAACCTGTGGGCTCCGGGAGCCCCTGGAGGGACCGGCAGCTCAGGAAGAGTCAGGGTACGGGTCACACTCAGTCTGTACCTCTCTCGAGTTCACCAGGCCGGGACTGAAAGCGAGGGGAGGGCGGGCAGGCCACATTTCCCAGCCCTTGAGGAAATGGCCATGGCCGTTTCTCCAGAAACATTTTTTTCCCCAGAGTTTCCAGAACTTCATTCTTTCTCTGCTGAAGTGTTTTCCACCCTCACTGAGGTGGCTTGGTGAGCTGCTGCTTGGACCCTCTTCTCAGGAACCCATGCCTCTTCTGTATTCTGACGAGCTCCTTGTTCAAGTGCTTGCACAGGGAATGAGATTAAGTGGATTCCCCGTAGTCCCCATTCTGCTGAGCTTTTCTGGGTCCCTCCCCATTAACTTTCATTCCAGTTACTGGAGGAACGGATCGCCCATGTGGCAGTTCATCAAATACCCTGCAGGACCCACCACCACATGCATTTTCTTTTTTTATGTAAAGTTTTCCCGCTTCCAGACAGACAAGAGTCTGCTTGTGAACCGGAGCTGCCCACACAGAGAACCAGAGATAATGCCTGTCGAAGGGCCAAATTGAATATTCAGGGAGGATGTCAGTATGTGGGAGAAGCATTTGTTCAGCCTGGATCTGAGAGGAGCTGTGTGTCATGCTTCCATAGGTTCTCAACAGGAGGTGCGTAGAAGCAGCCGTGATGACAGGCCTGGCCCTGAACTGCCGCATCAACAAGAAGTCCTTGTTTGACAGGAAGCACTACTTCTATGCGGACCTCCCTGTAAGTATGCTTTGCAATCCGCCCTCTGTACGTTCTCAGAGCTGGGGGGGGGGGGGGGGGGGGGGGGGGGGGGCTATGACTCTTGTGTTTCCAGTCAGAGCTCTGTCCGTGTCAGCGGGAGGTTCTGCCTGGCCCTGATGAAGGCAGGTGCCCCCCGATGTTTACTAGATTGGATGCGGTTGTCCTGATTGCCGACTCCTTGCTTAGCCTCATGCTTCTGCTGGCTCCCTCATAATTGAACAGGGAGCAAAAGGCAGTGTTCTCAGGCTCAGGCCGGCCATGGTGTTCGGTGCTAATTGCCTGTGAGGTCAAATCTAACTCCACGGCCGATGCAACAGTAAATGCAGACGACAGCTCTGTAGACAGAGTGATAGCTTCCCTCTTTTAAGTTGAAGTTACCAATAATAGGACTGTCCCCTCTAGGGACATTTCTGTCATCTCACAAGGAGCAAGTAAGTGGACAATAGGAAGTAGAAACATGAACCAGAAGCCTCGACTAACAACAGTAATTGGCTGTAAATTGGTAGCAAACCCAATATTAACCTGTTTTTTTCCTTAAAATTATAAAGTTTCTTCATTTGATCTGAGCCTCTAATAGTAAGCACACCCTTTCTTCAGATCTAGAAAAATGATAGTGGTGATACTGCTTCATGTTATTTTCCTTGAACTGAAGATGAGGGTGAGCTGGTCTTTAGTGGATGAGGATGGAAGGAGAATTAAATAAAAAATGCAGCTGGAACGTTATTTCTCCAATTGCTTGCTGCCGCTTTTTCCCCCTGGCTGCCAGCCCCTAGCAAATTCTGTTGCTTGGTAGGATGAAGGGAATGAAGCTGCGTTTTTTCCATCCTTTAAGAGTGATAATCCGTTTGGTGAAGGTGGGAGACTTAGCATTATGCGACTAAAATGAGATGTTTTCATTCTCAATGGCTTTCTGCTATCTCTGGCTCAGGTGGCTCAGATAACCAGAGTTAGTGTTGCCAAATCTTACATGGAACACACTTAGACTTAAAAAAGTATTTGTTTATCTGAGTAAACAGTTTATTCAAATTGAGATATAACTGAGCATCCTGAATATCGTTCAGCAACCCGATTCAGAGTTTAATTTTTACAGATTGAGACTTGCTATTTCATCACAGAGAATGAGTTGGCCTAACGCGGTGGTTCTCAAAGTGTGGTCCCCCGCGCCCCTCGGATCAGCATCTCCTGGGAACTGGTTAGAAATCTAAATCTCGGGTACTGCCCCAGACCTGCAGAATCAGAAACTCTTCAGGTGCAGCCTACCAGATGATTCTCCTGCAGGGGAAGCTTGGAAAATGCTGGCCTGGTGGCTAAGAGCATAGTCTCTGGAGCCAGACCTTACATGTTCAGATCCTGGCATGGATACCTACTATCCCTGTGGCCCTTAACCCCTTCCGTGCCCCGCATCTCCCTCATAGAGTTGTCCTGAGGATTTGACGGTGTAAAGAACTCAGCACGGTATCTGGGAGCCCACAGGCACTGCCTCTCTGCCCTCCCGTTCTCCGTATTGCCCTCCCATCTCTTCACTGGGTGTTGATGCCTGTGGGCACTCGAGTCATTCCTCCTCTACTCAGAAGGAGGTGGGGAGCCCTTGTAGCATCCGTCAGTACTTTAGTACTTGGTGTTTTCTGTTAGCTGAGTGCAAGTGTCGGAGCATTTTCTAGCGAGAAACGGGAAGTTGTCGGGGCAGGGAGGGCAGCCGGCATGACTGGCTAGCTTAAAGAGCAGGAACAAAACAAGCTCCGTGCACTAGCGACTGCTGTCTGCCGTGCTGCGCGTGGGTGGCAGAATGCTTAGCCAGCACTTCCTAATACGGAGGGTCTGTCAAGAGGCCAGTGATCAGAGGCAGGGTTTAGGCTAATGAGCTAAGTGGAGACAATAAAGTCTTCTCTTAGAGGCCTCTGACAGTGAGATTTTTGTTATTCCCCCAAATGGCAATTTGGTAGGGAAGATGGGGTTCGTGATGTTTGTTGCATCCTTACTGGGGGTTGGGGAGGTGCAGGGAAGGTAAGGGAGGGGGTGGGAGAAGCCAGACGAGGCCAGGCTAAATTATGACTACAGTGCATAAACTAATTTTCTTCTCTTTTTCCTTTTCTCTTGTGTTTTTAAGTAAGCCTATAGTTTTGTGACAGAAAAAGAAATAGTAAACTGGATTCCAGCTTCTGTTTATGGCCTGGTGACTGTGTAACGTAACGCATGTTGTGTGCAGGCAGGCTACCAAATTACCCAGCAAAGACTCCCGATTGCTGTGAATGGCAGCTTAGCGTACAGTGTCTGTGTGGGGAAGAAGCCGAGTCAGGTGAGCACCAAGACCGTGAGGATCAAGCAGATCCAGCTGGAGCAAGACAGTGGCAAAAGCCTCCATGATGAGCCGCGGTCTCAGACACTCATCGATTTGAACAGGGCAGGTAGGCCAGGGGATTGTCTCTTACCTTTCCTTCCGGCCACCTCTCTTCCCCTCTAGAGTTCTCCCAAGCCAGTTGAGGAAACAGGCCCAAGAGTTTGACAGAGCCAGATCAGATATCAGCGTTGGTATTGGCACAGCTGACTAGCGAACACAGCCTGAACCGGGATCCCCATCGGGCTTGCTAACAACCCACCCGTAAAGTGTGATGAACATAGCCGCCTAGTCATGGACCCAGCAGCTTGAGATCTCGGGCAGACGTTGAAAGAACCAAAGTTAAAAGTCAAAATGTGAGGGGGAGCAGAAATAATCGAAAAGCTAGAAGCCGTGTAGAGAGCCCATCAGTGATGCAGGTTCTTCCTGAGACCTCAGCCGAATTTATCTGCGGGTCAGATTGGAGAGCTGCAGTCTGGCTGACTCTGCCTGTCTTTGGTAGGAGTTGGCCTTCTGGAAGTGGTGCTGGAGCCCGACATGTCCTGTGGAGAAGAGGCAGCATCAGCCGTCAGGGAGCTGCAGCTGATACTTCAAGCCCTGGGGACCAGCCAGGCAAATATGGCAGGTAGAAGCCGCAGAGGCTGTGTCCCTCATCCTTTACCTTCTCTTTCCGCCTCCCACATCTCTTCTCGCTGGACTTTTGTTCTCTGCATCAGCTACACTGGGGTTGTTTATAGGGTTTTGTCAGCCTTTAGGCCTCTGGGGGTTTTTTTCCTCAGAGTTTTCCTTGGATTCTTTAATGAACCCCCAGTCAAAACTAAACACACTAACAACAGTGCAGAGGCACTGAGCCCAGGAATATGAGATTAGGAGTTGTTAAAAAAATTCAGCTGAGTAAATTTGGAGATCAGACTGGCTTTATTTAAAGATTCATGAATCAGGCAGCATCCCATCTAGCAAATAGAAAGGAGCTCTAAGGAGCTGGACAAAATGGTAGGCTTTTATAGAGAGAAGGGGTCGTTTTCTAGCAGAGAGTGGATTGTTCTAGGCAAGATTGTTCACCTCTCTTTGGGAGGAGGGTGGGGGTCTGTCATGCAGATTACCTCACTAGTGTTGATCAGGAACTTCCAGGTCAACTGGATAAATGTCACCCTCCTGGGAGAGGCTGAAACTGCAGTGAAGGTTTGGTTTGCTGTAGTGGGGGCCAGTGACTCTGCTTTGGGCCTGTTGTATGTTTCTTTCTTTCTTTCTTTTCTTTTTTTTCTTTCTTTCTTTTTTTTTTTTTTAACAGTCGAAGGACCAGATGTTTTCTTCTGGCTTCTTATATCCAAATGTTGTTTTGCACCAAAATGAGGATAAGTAAAATAATGTGCTTGAACGGTTTCATCTTTCTCAGAAGACACTTTATTTAATAGCTCTGAGTTTCTGTGTAGGTAGCACTTAGTTGCTACTTGATGCTTTTTCTTCAGGTCTCTTTCTTATTTTGTAGAATTTTCATCCAGCTACAGCTGAAGCCAAGTTATATCAAGTAAAAGGCAAGGTTATGATTTCACAAAACTTTAACTTTGAGATAATATCTTCAGTTCGTTAGAAATGTAGTAGGAAATCAAACAAAAGAAAAACTTGTGCCATTGAGAACAAGCAAAGTATACATTTTAAGTGTTTGCAAATTGGAAATAAAGAATACAAGTTTTGGTCAAACTCAGTGTCTTAATGGCTCACTCTTATGGCCCCTTCCTAGCACTCCATCGCCCACCCTAAAGTCCCTGAAAGCTAGCCTCTCCCATGATTACCCCATGTTTTCTGTTCCCAAGGGCTTATTTTTTTTTAAGATTTTGTTTATTTTTTTTGTTTATTTATTTGACAGAGAGCAGGAGAGAAAGTGAGAGAAAGCAAGCAGGGGGAGCAGCAGAGGGAGGGGGTGAAGCAGACTCCCCGCTGAGTAGCGAGCCGGATTCGGGACTCAATCCCAGGACCCCGGGATCATGACCTGAGCCGAAGGCAGGTGCTTAACCGACTGAGCCATCCAGGTGCCCCACGAGGGGCTTTTAAAAAAAACTCTTGCCACTCACAGAGCATTCCTTGAGTTGAGAAGGGCAGGAGTGGAGAAAAGATACAGATTCTGCAAATGGCAATTGTTAATTCATAGCTCAGTACAGTGGTGTATTAGAATACTCCAGAGAAACAGAACCAATAGAATGTGTATATGTGTGTATGTTTATGTATGTATGTATGTTTATATTTAAAGAGATTTATTCCAAGGAATTGGCTGATGTGATCGTGGAGGCTGAGAATCCCATGGTCTGTAGTGAGGAGGCTGCAAGAGGGCAAGCTCCAGGAGAGCCGAGAGTATAGTTCCAGCCCAAGTCTGAAGGCCTGAGAATCAGGAGAGCCAGTGGTGCAATCCAGTCTGGCCTGAGGAGAAGACCAGTATCCTAGCTCAATGACAGGCAGGCAGAGAGAGCAAATTCCGCGCCCTCCCCCCCACTCTCACTTTTGTTCTGTTCAGGACTTCAGCGGACTGAATGAGGCCCGCCCACAATGACAGAGGCAGTCTGCTTTCCTCAGTCTGCCTATTCAAATGTTGATTTCATCCAGAAATACCCCTACAGACACACCCAGAGTACTGTTTAACCAAATACCTGGGCACCTTATGACCCTGTCAGGTTGACCCATAAAATTAACCATCGTAAAGTGGTCACAGTGGATGCCAGGAAATACCATTGAGGGTGATGATTCATCTCGCTGTTGGTTTATAAGCCTGTTTACCAGCCTTTTTATGTCACACAATATACTTGTGTGTTACAAAAGGACTTCTGAAGTTGTAATGCCACATCTGTCACGTAGGACATGTTACAAGCCACAAACTGTAACGTCAAAGCCGTGGTACAAGTTGAACTTGGAGACAGAACTTGCCTATTTGCTATCTTCTTTAAGCTAAAGACTGGAAGAACACAGCCACACAGTGTGAGTGGCGTAGAAGTTGGCTGCCTCCAAGTTTGCTCTATGGAAGTGCAGCTGTGTTGTGGAGTAAGAGAACTCTTTGTGTCAGATTTATGGCTCATGGTGCGTTTTTACCCAAGAACATAAGTCAGATATGGGCAGGCTGGGTGGTTACCCATTTATGCCCTAAGTGTTGGTTCCCTATTGCTTTAAAGAAAGTTTTTATTCTTCCATTCTCTCTCCAAATACCTGTGATTCCTAGCAAACCTATGGAATAATAAACAGGCCACCTGTTAGCTGAGAAATCGTCCCATCTGGGGCCTTGCCACGAGATAAACCATAACGGCAAGAACTCATCAGCCAGTGACCACTGAGAGGGTTCATTAAATCTCATTTGTCGTGACACTTTTTTGCTGCTTTTAAATACAACTCCCAACAGCTTTGCCCCTAGCACAGCAGCAGAGTGGCTGGGGTGTTTCTAAAGTACTGTGGGGAGGGAAGGTCTGCCTGGAGGCTGCAGGGGTCCAGCTTTTTGTGCTCTTAGCATTTCAGCAGCCCCAACCACTTGCCTTGTGCTTCTGCCCCACCACCATAGGACCACCGTGCAGCATCGGAGACTGTAGCCTGAGAACTGAGGACCGCCCTAGGACCAGTGGACCCCACCCCACCCCCCACTCCCCCGCCCCAGGGTGCTTTTGGAATAAAGTTGAAATTGCTCTGGGCCTGTGATTGAGTGAGTTCCTGATAGTTTTGCTAATGAGCATGGATCAGTTCAGCCTGGCCTCCAGAAGTCTTCCTGCTCAGTGGACATATGCCACTGTTGAGATCCTCAGAGCCATCTGTTGAGTTGAATGTGTACTGAAGTAAACATTCTAAATGTTTCAGTGGTGATGTCTGCCACTTGGAACACTTAGCATGTGCTCATCAGTTCACTAAGCATTTTTTTTTTTTTTTAAGATTTATTTATTTGAGAGAGAGAGGTACGGGAGGGGCGGAAAGAGAGGGAGACAAGCAGATTCCCCGCAGAGCAGGGAGCCTGACACTGGGCTGGATCCCAGGATCCTGAGATCATGACCTGAGCTGAAGTCAGATGCTTAACCGACTGAGCCACCCAGGCGCCCCTCACTAGGCATTTTTAAAAAATTATTTATCATCTCGCTTAAACCTTACATTATTCCTGGGAGATAGGTGGTATTATGCCTGTTGTCCAGGTGAAGAAGCTGAGATTTAGAGAGATTGCCTTGTTTCTCCAAGGCTTACAAGAAGTGACTGAGCTAGGATTTGAGCCCGGGTGTGTCTGAGTCCAGGAGCCCTTTTTGTAAGCCCTGCATCGCACTGTTTCTAGTGGCAGCCACGACAGTGTCACAGCCTCCATAGATGACAGTTTAGGGAAGAAGGGTGGCAGAGTGTGGGTGCTGAGGACACTGAGGTCACAGAACTGGGCTGGGACCCTGTCCCACCTCTTCTAGCTCTAAAGAACCTGGGCAAGGGATTTTGATTTCTCTGAGCTTCACTTCCCACATTTATATACTGAGTCCCCAAATAACCATATATGGAAGGGGAAAGGAAGAAAAAGAAGAGGAAAGGAAATCATCCAAGTTGTCAGAGTTGGGACATCTGGGTGTGGTGTCAGTAGGTACTGAGACAGGGAAGACTGGGAGAGGAATGGCTTTGTGCGAGAAAATCTGGAATTCCATTTTGGATATGTTAAGTTTGAAATGCCTAAAGGATGTCTAAAAGTGGCTTTGTCTAAAGCTGTATCATAGGGAATGAATGTGATAAAGTATATAAAACTTATCACAGGCCCTGACAAGTAGCCTGTACTCAGTAAATGTTTGTGCTTTTATTAGCAATAATAAATAGTATTACTTTTACAGAACCTCTACTCATTTTGGGTAAATAAGCTTTGTGAAATACGTTCAATAAACTGTGTGTGTGTGTGTGTGTGTGTGTCAGAACTTGTTATTTAAGTCCTGGAGAGCATCCAGTGATCAGAATGAGATGGCTTAACAGACCTCTCTAAATCCTCAGGCCCCTGCTGTTTACAGAAACAGTTTTCTGTCCTGATGTTATATTTCTGATGTGTGAATGTGTTTTAGAAAAAAAAATATGTAACTGCACCATATCACTATGCTCAGTGATATAGTTTTTTAGTTTTGCTGTTACAAATCTCTGCTTCTGGAGGGTAGAAATTGAGCTTGATAACATTCTGGTGATGTGTGAATGAAGGCCCTCCCTCAGTGTTGCAGAATGCATTGAAGTAAACCTGACTGGTAAGGCTTTTGTGCACTTGAAGCAATTTAACTTAATTTGTTTAAAAGGTATTTTGTCTTCACTGGATAGAATGTCTTTTGTGAATGTTTGATACTGTATTTGAATCCAGGCTAGTGGACTCTTTCAACACTGCAGGATACTAAATGGTTCCTCTCAGACATTTATGTAGTATGTATGGCCTTCTCTGGGAGAGACTGAAATTCATGCTTTTATTCCTTATCCAAGTTAAAATTCTAAATCGTGAAAGATGGTTTCATTTTTAAAAGCAGGTGAGGTCCAATTCAGGGTTCCCTGAGTTCAAAAAAAAGTTGTTTCCCAAGAATTGAGATTTGGTTGAGCAGAGCTCAGCATACTTTGGAAGTTTTCCTTTAAGCTAAATGGGCCTTTCACATGATTCCAGCTGTAGATTAATCCTATTCAGACAGAACTTTAAAACTTATCAGGAACCTTTTGTGAGACAGTAACCAATCTGCTTACTCACTGCTCAGGAAAATACCAGAGTTTTGGCTTGTTCAACAAGGTATTAATTTATTGAACAGTTACTCTGTGCCAGACCCAGCTCTAGATTCTAAATATAGCAGTGAAAAAGACATTATTGTTCCTGCCACTTGGAGCTTATATCCATGAGGGAGATAAATACATTAGTAAATAAAATCATTATAGTGGTACGTGCTCTAAGGAAATAAATAGGATGCCGTGATAAAGAATAATGTTGGAGAGTGAGGGCCTGTCAGAGGAGGTGACGTTTATTTGAGACCTGAAGAATGACTCCAGGCTCCAACCAGCATAGAAGTAAGGGTCAGCATTCCAGGGAACAGCTAAGGCAAAGTCTCTGAGATGAGGAAAAGGTTAGAATATGCTCTGAGGTAACATAGGTAACAGAAGGCCACTGGAGGGAAAGCATAACAGGCAGGGGGTTATGGCATCAAGTAAGACTGAAAAATGTAGGCAAAGGATAGATTACCAATAATGGTAAGAAGTTTGAATTTCATCCCAAATGCAGTGGGAAGTCACTGAAGGGCTTTCAAGCAAGGCAATGACACAGTCTGATTAATGTTTTAGAAAACCACTCTGGGGTGCTCCGTGGAAAGTGGATTTCAGATGAGTAAGAGGAGAAGCAAAGAGACCAGCTAAGAAGCTTTTGCAATAGTCCAGGTGAAAGGTGATGCTGTTGTGGACAGGGCGGTGTCAGTAAAGATGGAGAGATCAAGCTGAGTAGATTCAAGGTGGATTTTAGAAATAACAGGATTTGCTAACAGGCTGGTGTGGAAATCAAGGGGCAGGAAGAAATCAAGGATGTCTTCAAAGAAGCTTGAGGAGCTGGGTGGTGCTGTGGACTGAAACTGGGAAGATGAAGACAAGAGTGGCTTTGTGGAGGGGAAATCAGGATGTAGTTCTGGAAAGTGAAATGTCTGTGAGACCTCCAAGTGGAGGTATCAAGTAGACATTGGAGGTAAGTGTGGAGCTCAGAGTAGAGGTCTGGGCAGAAGAGAGAAATTGAGGCGTTATCAGCACATTGCTGGTATTTAAAGCCACATACCCCTACAGAGAGAGTGCAAGAAGAGGGTCCTGAATTGGATGGGAAAGCAAACACCAGCAAACAAAATGGAAGTAGAGTGTCCAGGGAGGTAGGAGGGAGACCAAGAGCACAGAAGGTCACAGCACCCGGGAGAGGAAGAGAGTTGAAGAAGGAAGGATTAGTTGGGATATTGCACACTGCTGGGGGTGTCCAGGAAGGTGAAGACAAAACAAGTCCTGTGTCCATTGCATTTGGCAGCCGGGAGGTCGCTGGTGACTTTGAGGAGGCATTTTCAGAGAGGCGGGGACGGAAGCCCAGCTGAAACACAAGGTGAGATAGCAGAGACAAGCTGTGCTGCAAGCAAACAAAACGTGTTCGAGAGGATTTGCTGGAAAGTAGCTTAGTAACTGATGGAGGGAGAATGGGGTTCAAGGGACTAGGGTTTGGGGTTTTGGTTTGTTGTTGTTTTTCACAAGAGATACTTTTTTATGTGTCTCTACCGGAAGTACTGCAGAGAAAGCGAGGTTAATAAAGGGTGTGGGAGAGAGGAGGTAGCTGAAAGAATGATGCTCTTGGGCGGAAAGGTTGGTGAGGGTTTGAAATCTGGGTGCAGCCCTCCAAAGCCTTCCATTCTGGTCTTAAAGATAAGATTAATTCAAAATAGACTGTAGTCATGTGCTAAATTCTGTGGTATTGACTGTGTCCATCCTCAGAGTTCGGAGGAGCCACCAATGGAGATGGGCTTATTGATTAAGAGCTTCTAGGAGGAGAAGGTGGTAACACTGAAGTGGGACCCCGAAGGATGAGCAAAGGCTGAAGAGGGACAGTAGTACTGATGACGAGGACGTGCAGGAGCCAGCGGACCGGGCAAGGACTTGTATGCAGAAAGCTCCCGCAGTTGGAGGAAAGCTTTCTCACGAATGAGTAGGGGGAAATTGTGGGTCATGTCAGCCAAGAGTGGATGAGGGCTCCTCAATACCAGGCAGAGGAGACGAGATGGCCCAGTGGGAGTGGCCCTACACTTAAGCAAGCAAAGAGAATGATGGAAACCACCTTGTAGCAGGATGGAAGTCACAGCCACGTAGTGGCTAGCTGGACAAGGGGGGTTGCTGTACTAAAAGTCAGGACGCAGTTCTGTAACCTCGTCTGAAGTTCCAAGTCCTCCAGCGATGGTGGTGGCTGTGGATGTAGAGAGGAAGGGACAGATATGAGGGGTACTGGAAGAGAACCGACAGGATCGAGTTGTCAGTTTGGATATAGAGGGAAAAGAAAACAGAGACAGGGAAAATGACTTCAGGTTTCCTGGACTAAGAATCTAATGATGTCAGGAATAGTTGGGACTTCCTGGATTCAAGGAAGCACAAATTGTCCAGACTGTTGAGACGTCCGTGCTGGAGACATAGAGTACGTTCTGAGCTGCAAGCACCTTTGCCCTGATGGCCAGCATGGGCGGCAGTTGGGACCGCAGAGTGGGGGAGCTCATCCTTTGTTCTGAGGGAGCAAGTGGAGACAGTAGGGCAGTGGGCAGCCGGCAGTCTGAAGCTTGGAGGAGGCCGAGCCCCACAGCTCAGCATTTGGATGTGGAGCAGCAGAGACCAGGACCGTGGAGTTTCTTGGCATGGAATTTATTTACCCTATTTCATTATTTTAAGAGGCTTTTGCTGTGGAATCTTGGAAAATGAATTTTTATTCAGCCCATCAGAATCTTCAGGTTTGGCAGGTTCTTTTTAAATGTAAAAACCCGCCTAGGAAAATAAAAGTCCAGCATTTTGTCTTGTCATTCTGTTCTGTTTTAGACATTGTAAATGAAATTAGAGAACAGAGAACGTGAGCTTTACTTTGTAGGGTGTAAAATGTGATTTTTTTAAGGATTTTGCATCTCTCTGCAGAGCCTCTTAGTCCTCTCCACAAACCACCTGCCTCCTTAGGGGTTACTGTTCCTAATCTAAAGGGGTTTTCTGGGTCAGAGAAGGTCCTCCCAGGATGGGGGCGGCCCCCTCTGCGTTCTTGCACAGACTCACCCCTTCATAACAGCACTGTCTGCTGTGGCAAATTCTTACAGCAATCAGGAAGGATTCAGAGTCCTGTTTGTTGAAAGAAGAGATTATTATAGTACCCAGAGGAAGGAGGAGGGGACAAACCCGGTTTCTGGCTCTTGCCCTTGAGTTATAAATTCTCAAGGACTCTCATGGATCTTCTAGAATCACAGTTGGAAATCCACATTCCATTTGAAAGCTGTGTAGGGTTATCAGATGATCATTTCTTTTTCTTTCTAATTTTTTTAAAAAGATTTTATTTATTTGTTAGAGCACAAGCAGGGGGAGCGGCAGGCAGAGGGAGAAGCAGGCCCCCCGCTCAGCAAGGAGCCCAATGCGGGACTCAATTCCAGGACCCCAGATCATGACCTGAGCCGAAGGCACCCAGGCATCTCTCAGATCATCATTTCTGCTGCCTTCCCCCCAACCCGGCTCTGACAGTGAATAAAAACTCAGGATAAAACTGCAGAGTAATTCTCCATTTTAACAGTGTTGTTTTTCTTATTTGGCACAAAAGAAATTAGATTTCCCAGCTGGTATATACAGAATTTCTCCTCTCTCCCTCATGTGCACAAGTGCACACAAATATGTACACACACACATATACTCACACCTCAGATGCCTTAGGACTGTAATTCTCATAAGTGGACAGAGTACCAGCCATGTGCTTCAGGACCAACCATACCTTCTCGAAAGTTGGGTTGCTGTAACTGGGTAAACAGCAAATGGAATTCGATATTGCTTGCCTAGAGACTTAAAAAGACTATATTGCGGGGCACCTGGGTGGCTCAGTCGTTAGTTGTCTGCCTTCGGCTTGGGTCATGATCCCAGAGTCCTGGGATCGAGCCCTGGGTAGGGTTCCCTGCTCGGCAGGAAGCCTGCTTCCCCCTCTCCACTCCCCCTGCTTGTGTTCCCTCTCTCGCTGTGTCTCTGTCAAATAAATAAATAAAATCTTAAAAAAAAAAAAAAAAGACTATGTTGCCTCAAAGAATTTCTAAAGAATTGTCTTTTTTCTCTCCTTCCAGAGGGCCAGTTGAGAGTGGATGCCAATATATCTGTGCATCATCCTGGAGAGCCTTTGGGTGTTCGAACTGAAGTGAAGAATCTCAATAGTGCCAGGTTCTTGGCCAAAGCAATAGGTGAATGTCAGCTTACATTTAATGTTCTTTTTTGTATCAGTTACCTATTGCTTTGTAACAAGCCACCCCAAACCTTAGTGGCTTATATGATAACCATTTCAGCTTTTGCAGTTCTACGGATTAGATCCTGCCTCAGCTCATTCATGTGCAAGATGACCTCACACATTGAGGCCTTGGTGCTGGGGGTTTGCTAGGATTCTCTTTCCACGTCGTCTTTCTTCATTTGCTTGCCTAGCCTGGACCTTCTTGTTTGGCAACGGGCCCTTCCAGGGGGATGAAGGCAGAGACCTCAAGGCTTCTTGAGTCCCAAGCTCTAGAACTCATACAGTGTCTCTCCCAACACATTCGATTCAAAGCAGATGCAAGGGGAGGAGAAATAGACTCCACCTCTTTATGGGAGGATCTGCAATATGCTATAGCTCTGTTTTTCCATTTACCACATCTTTCCGACCGGCATGAACTTTATAAAGTCATATTTATTCATTGTAGATTGGCCATAGTTTGACTTAATTGGTCATTATGTTTTTCTGCTTTTTACTATATTTACTAATAGAGTCCATGGGCCTATGTAATTGAGTTTGGGTCTTATTGGAGTACATGCTGTGGGTATTTATGTGCTGACAAATATATAATAATTAAAGTAGAACAGTTGAGCAAGATAAACATCCAGGCAGTCCCATAGAGGTTGCTGACTGTGAAGACATCTCAGAAGACTAAATATATTCTTTAAAATCAAAAGTATCTAGAGAGCAAGAGAGAATGTAGGGAAAGGATAGAGTTTCAAGTGCATCCCTTCAAGGATGCACAGAGCACAAGACAGCTGAATGCGTTGGTGTGTGTTTAGTAGAGTCCTGGGTCTTGTTGAGAAAAGTACTGGAAACAATGCAGAAAAGATTCTCTAGTCTTGTATAAAACCTTATCGTGAACCTGCAATGATCAGCCTCAATGAAGATGCTCTGAGTCTACAGATTTTCAGGAAAAGGGCATTAAAATGATCAAGGGGATAACTTATGTAAGGGAAAGGGTAAGGGAAGGTTTCCATGTGTAGATGGACCAAAGAGGGTGGACTCTTCTATCTCTAAAAGGAGATACAGTTCATGTCTCTGAAGCCATGAAAGGTTTGGGTCAGGGATACTCTTACAGGCCAGTTTTGTGAAGGGGAAACTTGGAACAAATGGAAGAAAGTTCAACTTCACCCTGTGGGTAGTTAAGTGTTCTAGAATTCATTATTCGAAGATGTGATGATAACCTAAAAAAACAAGCAGCAAGATTTTAAGTAGATTTATTCTTAATGATTTATGAAGGAGACCACCAAGACAGAATTCTGCCTGTGTCCTGACTCAGACCTGAAGAACCACAGATTTACTATGGTGGGCTTAATTCTCCAAGCCCGTGATTTTTCCATCCCATTTTTCTCCCTACATCATGCCTAGTAGTCCTCATCTGATTTCAGTCAAAGAGAGCACTGGAGTTGGGGAGACAGGGAGCAAAAACTGACACATTTTAGTGTTGCTGCTTCTTGTCAGCTCAGATAAAAGAGTTTGGATTTGGATGAGGAAGGTAGTACATGCTAGGGTGGGGAGTTAAGGGGGAGGCTAAAGCTGCTTTCAGAAAGAAGCTTAACAATTATGGCTGTTTTGCTTACCACAGTCAGCCTTGTTTGGTGGTGAGGGAGCATGGCATAGAACAGAGGCTCTTAATCATTTGGGGTCATAGATCCCTATGAAAATTCTGGACTCTCTCCAAAAAATCTACAAATGTGCACACACAGATTCTGTATATAATTTCAGGAGGTACCAGAACCCCGTGAAGTTTATCCTTGGATCCCTTGGAACTCGTGATAGGCAGCCATCCTGGATCTGGAGTTAGTTGGCCTAGATACTAGTCCTAGCCCCTCTTCTGCCAAGAGCTGTAAACTGGACTGGGTCACTGTGAACCTGAGCTTTCTCTGAAAGTGAGGAGCAGAGTTTCCTAAAAGGCTCTTCCCGGCATCATTGTCCTATGAGGGCAACGAGAAAAGGATAGAGCATATGAAGGAAGAATTATTATAAACCACTCTTGATTATTTTTTACTTAAATATTGAGAAAGATTTCTAATTATTGCTTGATTGGATGAAAGGAATCAAAATATACTAAATTACTATGTTTCTCTTAGACTTTGAAATTGAGAGACAAATCCACGAACTTGAGAATGGACGTAAAATTCTGAATGAAACGCGCTCGTTTGACTACAAGCTGGGGTGAGTTTGCACTGACCAGCATCTCGCACACAGCTGGGTGGGTCTCCGGTCTGGGCTCGCCACGGAACAGCCATGTGACCTTGAAGAAGGTACTTAGCTTGTCTGCACTAATGTTTTCCTCACTAGTAGAGTTAGGAAAATACTGTACGCTACAAGGATATAATATCCTGGAGGACTGGTAAGAGGTTGAAACTGAACCAGACTTGGACATAAGTGCTGAGTCTGGCCCTTCAGTTGCTTCCAGCTTTGGCAAGAATTTTCACTTCCTTAAATTCTATCAGACTTAAGCTCTACCAATTCAAACTGAAGGTAAAGAAAGCTTAGGGGTGGTTATGGAGGTACCCTTTTTTGTTTGTTTTGATAACTTTGACTCTAATATTCTGACTCTGAATTTTGAGGATTTTGTGCTTTTAGCAGAAGACTGAAAGAAGCTCAGAAGACTAGAGTTTGAGCTGGTTAGAAGCTGGAAACATTGAAGCAATTTCTTCTCTTATTTTAAAAAATTATTCTGAGTATTTCTCTTTCATTAATATTTTTTCATGTAGTTATGTAAGTGTCTCTCAAAGAAGGTCAAAGAGCCTGAATTTGCCTGTGTCCCTTATTGGTAGGGGCAACTCCCCTTTGCACATATGTTGGGCAATGTTGCATGCCATGTTGGTTTAACATTTTCCTTTTTAACTGTCGTAGGTGCACCATGCCGATGAGAGACAAAGAAGGAAAACAAGACTACAGGTGATTATTCCTCTTGTCAAAATACCATCATGTGTTTGGGGTTAGGGGCAAATTTCAAATCCACTTGCAGAGTAACGTAAGGACCTGGATAGCTTTTAGGAACCACTTTCTGTTTATATTGTTGCATGATGGAAAGCCTAGACTTCCTATTTTATATATATACTGAAAGAAAGAATGTTTTCTTGGTTAGCCTCAGGGTGTCTTATTTGATGGGATTCAACTGTTGGAAGACACTGTTGACTCACCCCTATGTGAGAGTTCTTATAATTGAGCTAAGAGGGTGGCAGTTGAGGATGGGACCTAGGATGTTCTTATTCTTATATTCATTTACAAATTCAGTAACACACTGAAGATCCTTGAGAAGAAAGGGAAAAAAAGATGCATATGTTAATGACATTTAACTCGAGTGATGTTATTTAATTGATTAAAATTAAAAATTGAACAATTAAACATATGAAGTTGGACTTAATATGAGATCCAGAAATAAAGCAAATAATAAGAATAGGCTTAAGGTAAATTGAACCTTTTGTCTTTTTCCCCATTGAGTTTTGCAGATTGTAAAGATTGAAGTTGTAAGCAACAAAGTTGTTGGTTCCTCTGCAAAGCTCAACTCTTGCTGTCAGTGAGGAACCAATGTAGCATTGTGATGTGGGAAAGAAGCTCATAAACCCTTAGTGGGAACCTCCCCTGAAGGGCCCCTCTCATGTGTGTCAAAGTCAAGATTGTTTTCATCACTGTGAGCTTCTGGGTTCAATCTGTCCTTCCCAAGAACTTCTTTGTTCTCCGGTGTCACCTCCTACTCTGTTTATGCTGCTTTCTTACTCAGCCTGGAGTTTGGCTGTTAGGTCCGCCAGTGGCTTTGGCTCAAGCCCTCAGGTTAATAGGCGGGATTCAGGAACCCCCCCTTTGGTGTCCTCCTGCCCTCACAAGTCAAACTGATTCACAGCACAGATTTGGCATGGAGGTAATGGATTGCGTGCACGTCTGATCTGTCACCTTGGCACCCCATTTGTTCTGCGTTATCCTGCTTCTGCATAAGCCCTTTGACAAGTAGAAGTGGACAGAAAAATGTTAGATGCTGGAATGGGGTAGAGGGAAAGATGTTATATGTGGTAGTGCTGCAGAGAGTTCCCACGTGCTCCTTGGTGTATACCATATACCCTGCCTCACCACCATGGTTCCCGTAATAACATCCTGCACTGCTATGTGATTCGCATTTATTACCCAGGAAATGTTGAAAACTCTGACTAAACACACGTACCAGAAACATGCCACAAAGAGTGTGGTACATTTGTTACAAATTAAGACTTGGTTATTAACTAAAGTCCATAGTTTACATTAGGGTTCACTCTTTATGTTGTACATTCTGTGGGTTTTGACCGAATAGTGACGTGACACCTACCGTTATAGTGTCACAGGGAATAGTATCACTGTCCTAAAAATCCCCTGTGGTCCACTTACTCATCCTTCCCTCCCTGCTTCTACATTTTTTTAGGCAAAATCTATTTATTTCTTCCACTTCTCAAGAAAGATAGTTTTCTTTTTCTTTGACTTTTCATTTATTTCACAAATACTGCTAAAAATAGAATTTTTAAATGGGGAAATGTCATTTTTCTCCCTAATAAGTAAATTGTTCTCATTTGGTCCTGTTTTTCCCCGGCTTCTGTCTTTGTGAATATGTACTTTATCCACAATTATAAATCGCAGTGTAGTATCAACCCTGTGTTGTGCGTTTTTCATTCATCATGGTTTATAAGCATGGAGAGGGGCAGGTCTGGTGGTCTTGACCTGGAGTATACACTTGTAGACTCATTCCTGGGAAACAGAATTGATATTAGGGGACGTTAGAAAATACCTGGATTTTTATTTTATTTTATTTACTTATTTGACAGAGCGAGCAAGCATGAGCAGGGGGAGGGGCAGAGGGAGAGGGACAGGCAGACTCCCCGCTGAGCAGGGAGCCCAACATGGGGCTCAGTCCCAGGACCTTGAGATCATGACCTGAGCCAAAGTTAGATGCTTAACCGACTGAGCCACCCAGGCATCCCATAAAATATTTGGAATTGTAACATGACATCTAAACACAAAACTTGTGTATCCATAATAGGGGTTTTCTTTCCTATTAAGCCAAATACTTCCAAGTCAGACCCCATTTCCTCTCCCTGCCTAGGTTTATGCCCGAACCCAACCTGCCTCCCCTCCTGCTCCATGACACCGCGTCTCTGCCTCCCGGTGCAGACCCACAGCAAGTGATCAACATTGACTGGATTCGGGAGCGGCTCCCTGAGCTGCCCAGTGAGACCCGGGAGAAGCTCATTCAACAGTATGGGATGCTGCCAGAACACAGCTTCGCCTTACTGGTAGGTATTGATCAGAGGCTCAGATAAGCCCAGCTCAGCAGTTTGGGTGATGCTCTGCGGTGAGCTCTGTGTAGCGCAGGCAGATTGCTTCAGTTGTACAGTAGATGCTTCTGAGAAGAACAAGGCACGATAACCTTTGCTCACTACCCTTTTTGGTGAATATGCCTCATGAAACCAGAAGGTGAAGCAGCATCTCATGTCAGTCATCTCTTCTGTGCAGAAATGAACAGCTGCTCACAGCAGCTGTGGAGGCTTCTTGAAGACAGTCCAAATGTTACGGATGAATGTTTTCCCATGTGTCTGCAGGACAAAAGAAAATCTATGTATAGGGTTTCTGGATGTCCGGCAGTATTGAACCATGACAGGGTCTGGCAGGAAGTTCGGCTCTCAAAAGCCAGCGAGCTGTTTCTCCAGCTGTAGAAGGAAAACATTTATTCCGCACGAAATGTTGAAAACTCTGACTGGAAGTATCGGTCCTTTGAGGCTTGAGGGTGCATCTTAAGGGGCCATTAGAGAATCTGACACCACTGAGACCTGCTTAGGGATTTTCCCTTCTTTTCAGAGCTATTCGCCGGCTTTGCCGTTTTCTTTGTCAGGGCAACATTAAAGGGGTGCGGCACCGGTGAGGGTAGGGTTTTGTCACCATTGTCTTCGGCTTGTCTGAGGGGGGAAGTAGAAAGCTTTGCTACTGCATGTTTCGGGGACTGGGTATATGCCACACTGACCTTCGGGAGCAGCAGAGTCTGCAAACTCTGGATTTCTACATTTTAATTGACCAGTAGTAAGTAGATAGAGTGTTAGAATGTTCATATTTATATACTTCAGTGAGAGCAGCCCCGCCGTTTCTGGTACAAGGTAGGCAAGTGAATGTTTGTTGAGTGAATGATTCTCTCTTTATGAATCAGCTAATGTGAAAACTCTCCGGAGAGTCTCACGGGAGAACTCCTCTTTTCCTACCAGTGACGATTGGGCAGGCCCTGATAGGTTTTCATACTTTAGGCAGGGTGACCACCGCCCACTGCCTCCTGTGGGCTGCGTCCGTAGCTTAGTCATAACTCTCTGATGCTTACGAGGCTGGATTTTAGTCATTTCTTCGTGTGACTTGTTCAGCCCCTTGCAGGCTAGGACTGTGTAACCCTCTCACTCGCTGTTCCTCAGCACAGCTCGGCTCACCAGCAGTGGCTTAACGCCAAATCTTCGACCAGGCAAGTCAGTTCGCATCTCGGACTGAACACCTTTTTAAACTGAAGCCTCTTACGACTCAGGTATTTTCCTGAGGTTGGTTTAACCCGACTGAGGCTTAGTCCTACCCATCCTCCCCACTGTCTGATGAATTTCCAGCCCACGCGAAATAAATTCCAGACTCAATTCCAAATGCTAAATTCCAGTCCTGCATTTTATAACTCCCAGATTACACAGGGGATGGAAGGACTGGGACGGAGCCTACAGGGACTGAGCCTCCAAGATGTCCGTTATCTGTCTTTGGCCTTCCACCAGGTGAATGGAGGCAGCCCTTGGAGGTAGCAAATGAAGAAAACCCAGGTTTCTTGGCCATTTCTTTGCTCACGACTGTGATTTCAGAAAAGAATCCACTAAATATAACGTTGAAAGTTCTTTTTTGTATATCAACTTTCTTCACAAGAGAGGTGAAAAGACCTTTCAGAAACTCCTCTCAAGAATATGGCTGTTTCTCTCCACGGCCCTGTCTGCAAGCATTTGCTCCTTTGAGAGAGCATCTCTCTAGCACTGTCACGCTTGGCCTCTGACGAGCACATGATGGCGAGGAGCATCTGCCTCCTTGCGCAAACAAAGTCCTCTGAGGGCGGGGACATTTTCGTATTCATGTTTGTGTCCCAGGCTCCACTTATGTGTCCTTCACAGGAGGCCCTGAATAAATGTTTGCTGAAGGTGCCCAGCGAGTGGGTCCAGACTTTAAGGTCCTATTGAGGGGAACCTGTCTTTCATCTATTCCGTCCACAACTTTTATTTTGCATCTCCTATGTAGCAGGTACTCAGACAGGGACAAATATATTTAAAAAAAAAGTGTTTCTTCGTTTTCCAAGAGTTTATATATATATAATACACACACACACACACACACACACACGACACAGCTAACCAGCCCCTGGGGCAGATTGCAAGAGCTAGATTCATACGGTGGGATGGGAGCCCAGGGAGGTAGTGATTACATTGATTGGAACAAAAGGGAAAAACTTCCAGAAGAAGGTGATTTTTGAGCCAGTTTTGAAGGGATTTTTAATATCTTAAAAATACACTTATTTTTAATAGCTTGCAGATAATGTATTAGGTGATTCGTTTTTGTTTTTGTTTTTTTTTTAAAGGGGTAGTCCTTGAAATTTCCAAGATGAATATAAAGAGAACTAAATAGCAATGGAAAGAGAATGATTCAGAGAAATTGTTTTCCTGAAAGTGGGTATCCTGAGCTCTTTACGACTTTGTAATCATTGAAAGCTGAGTTACTCAGACCCGAAAATGATATGTTCATGTTTTTTTTCTTGCCTTCATCAGAAACACAACAGATTGCCGAGAAGGGCAGATGCACAAATCTAATGAACCATCTTTGTATTTAAAGAGTGCCCAGGAGTATTCATTAAATAAAAAGCAGTAGTGGAGGTGCTTTGCAGAGCTCCGACCCCACACTCAGTGCCTTTGGATTGCTTATTCCATTAAGCATTTAAGCACATGCCTTACCCACACATACTAAAAACTTCAGAATTTAACTCTAGTCTTTAATTTGTCCTGTCATTTTATTATGTGGTAAGCACTGCATTATGTATTGGTAATTTCTGCTTGATATTTGCAGAACTCTAGTATTTTAGCATCTACAACAATGTGTGGCACATAGTAGGCACTCAGTGAATATTTATTCAGTGAATGGTCAGACAAATGATACTCTGACAATACTCATGAAAGTCCTGGAAGAAGCATTCCTGATAAAAGAATCTTAGTTTCTAAAGGTCAGATACATAAACCACTCTTGACCCCCTTGCAAATTGTGGGATGACGCCTGGCTCACTGAACTCTGGGTGAGAAGCACTTGGATCACCGCTTTAACCACCCCCCACGTACTGTCCAGATGCAGGTCACTTGGCCTCTCCGACTCTTGTTTTCTGAACTGGTCTTGTTAGGACATTAAATCCAATCTACATCCTGGTTTTCTCTCTTAAACCCTCCTGACAGTTCCCTCCCAACAGAAAACCTATATTACTGTTTTTTTCCTCTGGTCACATAAAAAGTACCCCACCTGAAACTTGAACCTATTTAGTTAACCTTGCTTCCCTATCTTATGTCAAATTGCCTTGATTGCTGACCTCATTTGTAAGGATTAAGGAATAGAAATACAGAATCTGAGATCCAGGTATTAGGATCCTGAGAAATGAGAGGTTCTAATAGCATAGCAAGTCCTTCTCTGAGTCAGCATATTCCAGGAGTAATCATGAGAATGATCTAGATGATATGCATGTACATTTTTCTTAGCAGATAATCCCAGGGTGACGTCTGTGGGTTATCTCTTCCTAAACTCTGCCTTACCTGATTTGGAGAATGCAAACAGATTGTAGTCATTTGCTTAAGCAGTACAAGAACATGGCTGCTCGCTGACAGCAGGTTCTGCAATTTATAGCAGGTCACTTTTTTTTTTTTTTTTAAAGTAGGCTCCAGGCCCAGTATGGAGCCCAATGCGGGCCTTGAACTCACAATCCTGAGATCAAGACCTGAGCTGAGATCAAGAGTCAGACACTTAACCAGCTGAGCCACCCAGACACCCCATGGGCCACTTTTTAATTTACGCTTACAACAACCCTCTGAGGTAGATACTGTTACTCACCCCATTTTACAGATGGGGAAACATAAACTATGGTGGGGTGTAGTACATTAAGTATCTTCGCCAGGCCTGTGGGGGGCCAGGTTCAGTGGTCTGAACTGACTTCAGAGTCCAGGCTTTATTTCCATTTCTAAGCTCTACTGCCTGCCTGCATATATAATGTGCCACAGTGACAAACAGGAATATGTTTCAAGTTCATTGCTGTTTTGGATCACTTGATAGAGAAAATAGAACTTTTACTTTTGTTAATACTGTTGTTTTTGTTTGTTTGTTTTGGTTGTGGTTTTCTTCGTTGTTTTATTTTTGGGTTTGTTGGGGTTTTTTTTTAGATTTAATTATTTATTTGAGAGAGAGAGAGCAGGAGTTGGGAGCAGAGGGAGAGGGAGAAGCAGACTCCCTGCTGAGCAGGGAACCTGATGCAGGGCTCAGTCCCGGGACCCTGGGATCATGACCTGAGCCAAAGGCAGACGCTTACCTGAGCCACCCAGGTGCCCAATACTAATGTTTTATACAGTCCCACTAATGCTTCATGAAGCAGTCACAGACCATTGGTTCATTTAAAACTTTTGATCACCCTGTTTGGTTTTTAAGATGTCAGACTGCCTTATAAAGAAAGAAAAAGTACTGTCTCCTAAATTTAGTGAAAATCAGTCAACTTCAATGAAAAGCAGAAATTATGTCCACAAGTAGAAAATTTAAATCACAAAAAAAGAGATATAAACTGTCCTCTCTAACTTTATTTTGTTTCTTAAACTTGGTGCCATAGGTTCTTGGCTCCTTCTGAATGAATCATTGAAAAGGTCTCCAAAAGAGGGCAGGATGTGTGCGGTTTGTAGGATGATTTTGCCTGTCGCCTCATGTCACGCAGCCCAGCACATGGTAGGCACTTGGTAAGGACCAGATACAAGCTCACAGGGTGCCTGGCTGTGTATGAATTCATTAGGTGGAAAGATGTCCATATCATCAAGATTTCAGTGGAGGAATGGCATCGCATTCCCAATTTAGTGTTTCTTGAGAGCCTGCTGTCCTTGCGACAGTGCCCTGTGCTGTTTTCAGGTAGAAGAGCTTTATCTTTTCCATGTCGCTTTTCATTCTCCCAAGTAGCCCTGCAGGGCAGTGGGTTGAAACACTAAGAGACAGTCTTGATTTCAGATCT